CTGCCGTGGTTCTAGAAGTTGGGCAGTTATTGTCCGGGAAACAGCACAACCGCCCTCGTTTTTGTTTCGAAAGTCCACACGCATGGAATTTCCATGCCATATTCTGAATTTCTGATGTCTTCTTCACATTATAATATGGCTAACTTTAGTGGTTTATAACTAGAAAATGTCGGCTAAAACGATACCCCTGCCTGTGGAAATCTCTCTTTTTGAAAGAGGATGTTTGTGGAATGGTGTGAGATTAGCATAGGATTAGCGAGGGAATTTGCTGGTGCTGTTTTATAGGACGACCGTTTTGTGCTAATTCGAGTGGTGGTTAGCTGGCGGAGGCGCATTGGACTTGAAAAAATAAAGTAAAGTGAAGGGGGCCTAGCATGATGGGAGTAGAAAAATGGGAGCGGGACTTTTTGTGCAGCTGGACCAGACGGCGACAAGCGGCGAAGAAAACGGGCTTGGACGTTGGGTGAGCGCGATAGCGAGATCATCCCGTCAAGTACGGAGTTGGCGGGTTCGGCTCCTCTGCAGTCGAACTATTACTGCATGGGTGCTGTAGGCCTTCATACCAGCAGTCAATTTTCATCTGACCGCTTGCATTTTACCTACTTAATTCTGTTAATAAAAAAAGCCTTTATGCATTCAGATAATTGCTTCCGTTCACACTGCACACCACGCACTAACTAGACTGATGAGGCAGGAGCAAGCAGAAGACCTCACCGCCAGCGAGGGTTCATATATCCGGCCAAGCGCACTCCCTCACCGAGCGACGGTCCGGCAGATGGCCCTCCATGCCCGCCTGCTGCGTCGCGGCTGCGTCGCCGGCTTTCTCAGGATCTGCCGCAAGGCGCCGTTCCCTGGGCTCGCCGGCCGACGCCGTTGACGGCAAGTATGTGGGAGCACTCTGCCTTCCTCAGGCCGCGCCGCCCGACGCCCTCTACCTTGATGGAAGTTGCCCGCTTCCTCCAGCCTCTCGCAGATGGGGATCTGCCGGCCCCGCGCCGCCACCGCCCAGGAAGGAGCTATTCCTCCGCCTCTCCGGCGCGTGGGAGTCCGCCGTGCAGGCGCTTCTCGAGCTCGGGAGAGGCACCGATCAGTACGTGGCTATCTCCTACCTTGTAGTGTTTAGCATGACAATATGTTTGGTCCCTTGTCCATTGATCTTGTCCGTGCAAATCTTCAAAATTATATGTATGTAGCTTGTGTTTCTGAATGTTGATGTATTGTGGTCTAAATATCTTACTGCAATTGCATTTGATTTGACTGCGCTGTTGTGTCGTCGTCTCACTATCCATAGAGATTTTGGCATGGTTCTGACTAGCAAATTTCTAGACTACTGTAAATCAGGTTTTGATGATCTTAAAACTATTTGAAAAAGGCTAAGTTGAGGTTCATCTCGTTTGGAAACCAGGATACTGTGATGCAAATGCTAAGTCCTTGTCAATTCACACATCAGCAAAACTAGGTGCTACTCTACTTTTATTTTTCCTGACTTTAAAACAGATAAACAGAAGCAAACGTTCCTCTTCCTTTCTTGTTGCCTACAGGAATTACAAATACCAGAATAGGATGCAAAGGCTGCTCTCTCTGTATTTGCCTTAAGTACTAAACACATAGAAGGAATTACTAGCTGCATTTCACGGCTATAGTGACGACTGCAGTTGTGGTTGACGTAGAGGAGCCGAATCCCAGAAATGCATGACTCTCATCTTATTTCCCTATCAAACTATTATCATATCGGAGGAAAATATGGATTCTTTTCCAAGTCCCAAATGTCATCGGCTTCACTCTGTAAATTAAAGAGAGACATAACAGATTACACAAAAATCATATTGCTTACAAATGGATTTTAGGAATTTTGGACAAGATAAGTGGAATACCGTTAGTAAACGAGCATAGTACCCATAGTCCCGCAAACCATCTGCATTTGTTCCAGTCATTTTCTCTGTAGGTGCTTCGCATTGTGCAACTGGAATGTACTTCTCTCCTCTCTATGCAAAATATAAATCAGAACAAACATTAGTTGAGTTATTAGTAAATCTATAGGCTGTTTCGATAAGTGATAAGAGATTTACAGAAGAAGATTGTTTTTCGGGAATGACTTTAGCTGCCCCTTTTTTCTTTTTACTGGGATGTTGATTATCAAGCCATGATTTCTTCCTTTTTGAAGTCTTCTGCTGTATTTCCTTTTTCTTCAGGCAAGCTGTTTGCAAACAAATGTCTGGTTCCTGAGATATGGCTTCAGTTCTGCATATAGTAGTAGGAGCTTTGTCTTCAACTTGCTTCTTTAGATTCTTCAAAGCATCATCTACTAATTTGATGCACTCTTCTGATGCAACTGCTTGGGAAGCTATGCCAAGGAACTCGTGCATGAAAAACTTCAGCTGCTGCCTATCTTCCGATCTAGGGTCTTCCAAAACAATGTTGCCATGGCTGTTTTGAATAGTGCCGCTTCGTGCTTCTCGAGTCCATCGCTTCAAAATATAGTGGCTTGTGTTAGAGTACGTAATGGGCCTAATGGCCTGGGCTGGCGGTATAGCCCGTTAGTCTTAGGGTTAATTAGAGATAAGGGTCGCTTGCTTAGGGGTCAAGTAAGCCTTGCTTGGGAGTCAAGTAAACCTCTCTATATAAAGAAAGGAGATGTATCAATCTAATTAAGCAAGAATTAAGAAGGAAATCCCTTCCCTCTTGCCCGGCCGTGGGCAAAAAGGCCCCCGGCCGGCCCTCTCGCGCCCTCCTTTTAGCAACGCCATAACAATTTGGTATCAGCTAGCTTCGGTTCGATCATGTCTTCACCGCCGCCCAACCCGTCTCTTCCGCTGCCGGTCACGACCGTCGCCCCGCTCCTGCCCGCGCCGGGATCCTCCGTCGCGCCCGCCCCCGTCGTCCTCACCCCGGAGGTGTTCGGGGCGCTGCGGGACCTAACACAGGCGGTCCAGGAGATCCACCTGTTCTTGGCCGGGTCCTATGGGCCGCACCCGGCTGCGCCTCCCATCACCGCCACCGCACCGCCGTGGCTGCCGTGGCAGCCGCCGCACCAAGAGGCCCCCGTCGCACTCGCCGGGCTACTGCAGCAGCCGCTGCAGCTGCCATCCATCGCCCCGTCCTGGCTGTCATGGCAGCCGCCGCACCAGGCGGCCTCCACCGCGCTCGTCGGGCTGCTGCAGCAGCCGCTGCAACTGCCATCCACCGCCACCACCGCCCCGTCCTGGCTGCCGTGGCAGCCGCCGCACCAGGTGGCCTCCGCCGCGCTCATCGGGCCGCTGCAGCAGCTGCCATCCACCGCCCCGCCCTGGCTGCAGTGGCAGCCACCGCTCCTGGCGACCTCCGCCGCGCCCGGCGCTCCACCGCAGCAGCCGCTGCAACTGCAGCAGCCATCACCGGTCAGCTCCGGCCCCGCATCGACCGCGCCGATGGGAGTCCCGATCCACCAGATCAAGTTCCCGCTGTCGCCATCACCGCTTCCCCAGGGCGTCCCCATCCAGCAGATCAAGCTTCCGCCGTCGCCGTCACCGATTCCAGCTTGGATCACTACCCGCCACGTGTCGGCGATGGTGAGGCTGCAGGCTGCTGCACGCGGCCTCCTAGCGCGTCGGCGTGTGCGGGAGTTGCGTGGTCTGCAGCTGCCGCTCCTCCCAGTTGCGCTTCGCTGCGCAAAGGACCTCGATCTCGTCCACTGCGTCAGGGATCTTGGGCATGCTATTTTCCCCACGGGCAGCGACCTCCAAGTCTGCAACCTTGGCGGTTGGGGGAGCGCACCCCTCCTCGTCATTCTCCATCGCAAGCCCCCCACTCTTCTCTGTGCGGTGCAGACCAACAGCCGTCCGGCAGGAAGAAGGCATGGTGTCACCGACAACAACGCACCACGTAGCACCACTGCATTCCGTCACCGGGCGCCGCAAGGGCGCCTCTGCTGGTCACTCTTGCGACCATTTCCAGGTGGCCATACACATGCACTCCTTTTGTCCAGATGGTGTCCATGGGATCCAGGTGGTTGTACGCGTGCACGTCCGACGTGCGGATGGTATCCACTTTTTATTAAGAGGTCCAAAATAAATCATCCCGGTCCATTTCAGGTTGAGAGTAATAAAACAAGCCGAGATGTAAAAGGCTTGTTTTTAGGTGTTAGATCTGTGTTGCGTCGAGTCATGGTTATAAGTTGGTTAGGCTGCAGCTCGAGGACAAGCTGCATGTCTAGGTGGGTTGTAGTGTTAGAGTACGTAATGGGCCTAATGGCCTGGGCTGGCGGTATAGCCCGTTAGTCTTAGGGTTAATTAGAGATAAGGGTCGCTTGCTTAGGGGTCAAGTAAGCCTTGCTTGGGAGTCAAGTAAACCTCTCTATATAAAGAAAGGAGATGTATCAATCTAATT